CTAAGCCATAAACCCTAAACCCTCAGCCCTAGGCCCAAAGCCCGCATCACCCGACCTGAACCTCTGGGAGTGGGATCTGCGAGCCAAGGTCCCTCGGCCGAAATCTTCGGCACATTTTCCCAGCCGAAGGAGGCGGAGGCGACAGTTGGGGGTTCGGGGTGTTTTTTTTCGGGTTTTTTGGATCGTGGGTTTTTAGGGCTTGGGGATTTAAGGTTTTTGGGTTCCTGCGTTTTTAGGGGTTGGGGTTTTTAGGGTTTAGGGATGAGGGTTCTTAGGGTTGGGAGTTTGGGGGTTTAGACTTTTTCGGCCTTGGGTTTTAGGGTTTGGAGTTTTGGGTCTTGGTTGCTGTGTTTCAGGTCGGACGGTCTAGGGTGCACAGTGAGGTTGAAATTGAAAAGGCTTCAATGGGTTTTGGGTTTCAGGAAGGTTCTTCGGTGGGTGTTCGGGTCTAGGGGTTTAGGCCTATATAGGGGCCTTAATAACTCGAACAGGGTTTTGGGGTATACTATACCATCATCATAATAAGGAACCCCCAAAATAGTATAGGTAATTGTTAAGGCCCTTACGTTAGCTTCTATCTTTGACTGTTGAGAGGTTTAGGGCTTATACCCAACACCCCAAGCCGTTTTCAGGGTTCGGGTGGCATCAACCCTATAAACCCTAAACCCTAAACTCTAAACCCTAAACCCTAAACCCTAAACCCTAATTTGTTTTTGTTTGTCTGGTGTGCGGTGTTGTCTTCATCCCAAGGGCTCGACCCTCATCGAGAATCCGACGATTTCAGCGTCTGTTTCTAGAGTTCCGACACCGAAGCTGCGGCCCTAAACCCTGCAACAGATCTTCAGGGTTTAGGAGCTTGAAACCACAGCAGGAAGTGTAGGCTGCGGTTCGTGGCTTTTGGCTCAAGGGGTCGCCTCTATACCTCGAAGCATTAACGCTCAACCATAAGCCCTAAGCCTTAAACCCAAAGGCTCCAAACTGCCTGCTCACGCCGGCCCTAAAGCCTCAACCCGCCGTTCCGCGCGAGCCGGAAGCCTCCAAGCCGTCGATCTTTTCCGAACGTTGAGGATCCTCTTGGCTCTAGGCTCTCCCTAAACCCCCACATACCTACTATATAGGGTACTAAAGCCCCTAAGGCCCTATATAGTAGGTACCTGGAGGGTTCGGCTCTTGAGGTTAGTCGCTTTGCAGCCAGCCTAGTTTTGTTGACGCAGGGTTATGCTTTTGGCGTTCGGCGTGTGCAACACTGACCCTGCAAAGGGCTTGCTTCACGCATGTGACTCCTGGATTCGAAAGTAGGGTTCAGGATGTAGAGCGTTTCTAGATTGAGGGTTTAGGGGTTCAGGGATTCCTTGTTCCGGGTGCAGGGATGTCTTGACATGCCTGGGCTGCCTTGACACAGGAGAAGAACACCTCAAGCAGTGAGGAGGACGAGGAATGCGAGGGTCTATGCGTGGCGAGGGTTTTGATTTTAGAATGTAGGGCTGGGGGCCTAAATAATTTGAATCGGGTCTGGGTGGTATGTTCTAATATAAGGGTTTCCAAGCGAAAGCAGCAACCACAATATTCAGAATAATTGTACTCCTCTCGCATCTCTTATGTGTAGAACTATCACTCTCGGACCTGTCCTGACAAACCTTCCTTCCCGGACACTAGACACGGTCTGGCCTAAAGACCCTTCAACCCCAAGCCCTAAACGTGGCACCACTGTGGTGGTGCCGAAGGTCAGTCAGGATAAACTGGTCGGAGGGACAAAGATCCCGACCGAGCCCTGCATCATTGTCACTGCAAACACGCGGACTTCCGTGGCGTCGCCAGGGGAATGCGGGGGACTTTCCAGCGGCTACAAGAGGGACTACGACTACTTCGCCTACGAGATTCTGCGCACCAGATGCTGGGACCAGCGTCGTTTGCCCGAGAGTGAGCCCTAGCTTAGGCCCTAAACTCTACAATCCTAAACCTGCAGCTGCACACCACCGCATCTTAAACTGCGTAACTTGAACCAACAAACCCAAACCCTACAACCCGAGATCGCCAAATCCCAAACCCCCTGCAATAGCAGAGACCCCAACTCTTCAGAAGTTGAACCGTGGCAGTGGTGGTGCATGCTCGTTCTACAGAACAGCTCCCGTCAAGGCACTCGCTTTGTACCCTAAACCCTAAACCCTAAACCCTAAGTGGCTTCGGAGCAGTCTCTCGTTGAGTGCCGAAACCCGAGAGCCCAAGCAAAAATAAAAAAGCACGAAACCGTCAACCCAAAACTCAAAACAGAACCTGAACTGAAGACCTTCAGCCCAACCGCCCCAGAACTGGAAACCTCCAACGCAAGGTTTTGAAGCCCGAAAGCCTTAACCTAAGCCCTATTACTTGCCTTTAAACCCTAAACCCTAAACCCTAAACCCTAAATCCTAAAGCCGCAGGAGGAAGATGACACCGCCTCGGCAGACGAGCTGCACGACTCCAGGCCTGGAGACTGTCTTTCCTAGCTCGTTCTGGGTACTTAGGGTTAAGGTTTAGGGTTTAG